AGTGCGGGATAATTCATGGAGGTCTCGGGGAAAAGGAGGAATTCGGTGGAATAGAGAAGAAGATGGAGAGAAAGAAAAAAAAGAGAGGTGACGCTTTCTTCGCACGGTGCATCACATAGAAGAATAAGTCGTCCTCGTCCTTTACTCCCGTTGCCCAATTTTCGCTAGTCCGAAAATTGCTCTTCAGTAAGTGACACGATTCTAACGAATTTCCCCTGTCATCTCTCATTGACTCAATTGAGTTTGCGAAATAAATGGTACAAAATATGCGCATCTTTTTCTAGCAGGATGGAAAAAATAGAAGAGCCTAGTGTAAAAAAAAGTGAGAGGAGAGGAGGAAAGTAATAAAAAAATAAATGTAAACGCCTGTAACTCTCACACAGATGCAATTCGATTCGGTAACAAACGCGGGGTATTTAGCTGGCGGCAACCGACGTCTGTAAACTATTTCGTATACGCGATTTTTTCAGCCGAATTTATGGTCGCGAGAAGCGAAATGTCGATAGTAGATCTATTTTCAAGCGTGCCGTGTGCGTACGTCCGTCGTATGGTGTTATCCGCGATCCGCGCATAGACACAATCGCACACGCATATACGCATACAAACACGACCGCCCACGCAAAACGTCAGTTCTGCTATTCGATTCTTATTGCGCCGCTGTGTTTTAGGATTTTTCAAACAAATCAGAGGTATTTGTCGGACGTGCCAAATGTAAAAATTCCGTAGCGCTTGTATAAATATCGCAATAAGCGATGCAGACTCTGTTTGCGTATGTGCAATCTTATTCCCCGACTTTATTCCACATTCCTATATTGCTGCTATAAAATTTCTTATTCTTTATATATTAAATTAAATAAAAATTTTTTCACAATTATTGCATCTATGTCCCGCTTTTCTATTGCATTTATGTCTCTGAAAACGTTTCTAGTGTAGGGTAGACCATCGAAGGAAACAGTAAATTCATCCGACAATCCACAGAAGTCTCAAGCAAAGGATTACAAAAGCGCAAGATTAAATGATTGACAGAATAAGTCTCGTCAGTACATTGTAAAACCGAATGCTACTCCGTTTAGATGTCGCACCAGCGTTACATCGGGATTATCGATATCCCCTATCGTTATCTGACAGATTGACGGCTCGGGCTGACAGCAAGCACACGCTCGCACGCCCACGCGGATTTCGACGCGGGGATCAAGATCTAGGAAGATTGTCGCGATACTATAAGATCGGCGCTGCCGCCGCAGATACAGCTAGGGGACTTTATTTTACGAGGTGCACTTATTTCGGCCCCGCAGGGGGCTGGTGGCTGTACAAGTAGACACACGTACACAAGCGAGTGCACACATGAATCTACGCGCGACAGACTTGTACGCTGACCCACATTGTCATTGCGTAACGGGCCGTCTTTCGAAATATTCGCAAGTTTTAGTGCCTCCGGGTGCGTCTACCGACATCGGCGACGATCGTAAAAGGGACCCCCGCAGTCAACGGTAGGAGACGCAGACGCGTCTATTGCGTTGCACATATACACAAGATCGTTTTTCAGCCACTCGCAACGGCGTTGTATAAGCATGAAAAAAAGTTTACTGTCTCATCAACTGTCAGACAAAGATATCGTGTGTATATATGTATATATATATATGTTGGAAACTTATATTATATTTATATGTATATCTGTGGAAAAAGTATATTCCTTAGTCGCGAAAATTAGACTTTAAAATATTTCATTTTATTTATGTTTCTAAAAAATTATGCTCGTTTGTTTGTAGAGATTCCATACGAGCTGAGTCTTTGACATTAATGATTAATTCTGTTTTTAACGAGGCGGCGGCAATATTTTTAAGAGAAATAAAACGCATAATCGCGACATTAGCTGTTTTCCTCGGGGAACGCGGCCATATCGTTTTCCGACCCATACTGACCGTGTACAATGCTCTGAGTTGCACTGGTTGGATAAAGTTTACCGTTGGTAAGACGTCGGAAGAAATATTAGCCTGGACGGAACCTTTCGTATAGAGGAAAGTTATCGCGAAGTTATGAGAGCCGTCAAACATACAAGTTAATGATTTATTGAGGAATTTATTTCATGAATCTAAGGTGACTGCGAGATACGTACTTTCTTCGGCAAGCGGACGTTGTTGTCGGCATACCCGGCTAGCCTTTCACCTCTTTGAGCCAAATATCGCGAATGCGGTATCGCGAATGAATCTTACATCGCAACGCTCACACAAGAACAGGAATTCACGTTTGCTCGCGTATATTTTTACGGGCTCTTATAAGCTGGGCGCTGCTGTCGTCCATATTAAAAACCAAACTGAGAAGAATTCGTGCTTGTTTCAGATTTGTTAATAGTGTGACAAAGTTAGCAATATTAAAAATTAAAGATATTTGGTGAATTAAGTTAAAAGATACATATTACTAACATGACCAAAAATCGCAAGATAGCAGGTTTTTCTAAAAGATTTTGTTTTGCAATAAATTTAATTTGGATTTTAGGTATTAAAATATTTAAAAATATGCTGAACAATATTGATTTTATGTAATTGTCATTTAGCTTATTTATTAGTTGACACATTGGTCGCGTTGAGTTGCCGTTAAAAAATCCTCGTAAATAAACAAGCAAAAGTTTATTTTTATATTCATCCAATATATCTTGTATATTTATTATCTCTGACCACTGCTTCGTTTATTTCATAAATTTTTGCAAGTATTCGATCAAATTCAACATAAATGTATAGTATAGAAAAGAACCAACGAATTCAGGTTGTAGCCAAGTTATCCGACAACGTCATCTAAATAAATTTGAAACAGAGAAAAAGAACATTATAAAATTATTAACTAATATGAGTACGCAAATAATCCGTACGTTAATTTCATCATATAGGATATACTTCTCTTTTTCATTTATTCATATATTTCATTTATTAAATATAATTATATAGTTCAATAAGAAACACGTTAATTATAAATTTTCATGTACGTCATTAGTTATCTTTAATTCAGGGGTGGTTTAAATCATATGATGATATGATATAGTTCATATAACGCATAAATCCTAATAATTATGATTGTTAGGATTAGATAAAGATTATAAATGTCTAAAAATTATCCATATGTTATGTACAATTTCATTGCAAACAAAATATCTGTATTATACCTGTCCTCCCCGTCGACATATCCACCGACATATGCTCCGAAAAAAAAAAACTATCATAGCATTACGGAAAAATTGTTGCCTCCCTTTGGAACGCTTCTGTCTCCGTGGAAATGAGAGCCAGGCGCCATAATCATAAACCAAGGTACATCTGCATGCGCGCTAACGAAAAGCCCATAAGTACGGCTATACCCTCGCGAATCCAGCAGGAAGTGCGCCAGGAAACAAATAGGAGAGAAAAACAAGAACAAAGGGGAAAAAAGGAAAGAAAAACCTAGCGTCGTTAATATCCGATCCGCGGGCGAGCTCGCCGAAACGACAGACGACCGCCGGTAAATTGGGCGTTGGTGCACTTTTAATTGACAGGAATGTTTAGCGGTAATGAACGCGTGCCGGATGGAAGGAGCGAAGGATAAGCCGGGGAGCGTATGCCGACGGTAGCAGTAGTGTCGTCAACGACGACGACGACGACGACAAGAAAGAAACAGCCCAGCGCCAGGACCACGACTAGATAGAGACACGGAGGCAGAAGCATAAACATCCTCGGCCCTCGGTGGCGGCGGTGGCGGCGGCAGGGGTGCAGCGCGCACGTTCCGCACTGTGGGCGTCGCCGTTCGGTTCCTACCACGACGGTAAGGGTGTTCTATGACGCTATAGATCATGCGGGCTCCGCCTGGTGGGCGGAGACTGCCCGCCAGTTGGTACGGTTCACCCCGCAACACTGCCAATGTTGCCAGCGCCTCCACCGGTGCCCGCCAAAACGAGCCTCTCAAATCGAGATAGTACGAATCACCGGATTCTTTGAAAATAATATTTTCGAGGGATTTTTTCGGAGCTGAAGGGGATTCAGAAAAGCGGGACAACGAATCACTGATTGAAGGAAGCGATGAGAAAAAAGAAAGTAGTTCAGAAATGAAGAATGAATAAGATTCGTTCTTTCGTATAAGATGTTGAGAATGACTGCATCTCATTATTTCTTCGCAGTTTTTATACTGATGGATTTTTCAATAATTTATTGATGTGATATAACATTTACTGTGTTATATTTAAATTATTTATTGAATGATAGTCATGAATAAATTTGTTAACACATTATAATATGAAACTTTTGTAAATTATCTACACAATAACTAAAAATATTAGCATAAATCGCAGAAACTTAACTCCAAGGAAAATCGTGAAAGTCGAAAGCTACTGTACCATATCAGATACTATTTTTATTATATTTAAAGAAACAGAGAAAAGCAATAATTTTTGTAAATATTGAAAAATCTTTTAACAACGTTGCACGTTCGTTAATTATCTGCTAACTTTCGACATTGGCTAAGCAAACCCGATTTCGTCTAGCATTAAAAAAATTAATAAATGCAGCACGTTGCAGAGTACAAGCAGATATATCCTCTTCTTTTTAATAAAAAAGACGTTTACAGCAAAACTTTAAAACTGTTGATAATGCAACATTAAGCTTTAACTTATCACTATTTTTCAATGCTTTGCATTTAGTAAAAGAAGTAGTTTTTTAATTAATATCTAATTTTCTACTAAACACCTTCTAGCAATCTCCTAACTTCCAGCAATATTCAATTAAATTGATATCATATTTTTCTACATAATAAATGTATCTAAATATTGTGAAACATACATAAACATTGCTACTAATCAAGAAAGAAGCATTCGGCACGCCCAGAATCTCTAACGTAACAAACTTTGTATCTTTATACAGCTACTGTGCGTTTTGAGGTTAGATCTCGGAATATTCAGTAATACGGTCGATAGCGTTATCTCTCGATCTATCCACGAATTGCCCTTCTAATTCGCTAACAAACAATGGTGATCGAGTACTCACCTCGACCAGCAGGAGTCTGCTACACGGTTTTCCTCGTGAAAATCTCGAGAAACTCCTAGGTGTGGCTCCGCGTCGCCGTAGTACCGTAGTTCGTTGTGCAACAGCGCCCCGCGCGGCTGCAATCAGAACCATCACGGCTACAGCGACGTCCTCCCCCCCTCGTGCACCTCCCTCGTGGAGCGACATAGTCGGGGACCCCGCCTCCTTTTCTGACCTCCCCCGTGCGCGCGAGCGTACTTGTAATCCTATAGATCTGTCGACAGGCCTTCCCGATCCGGTTGGTTCCTTTTTTCATTCAGTACCTCGCACAGTCTCTGTCCGAAAATCCCGTGGCCCGGATGATAGCTCGCGAAAAAGCGGGGAACGCGATAAAAATTCGCGGCATTCCGCGACGGGGGACGCGTGGGTGCCACGTCGCGGCCACGTTGCAGCGGGCAGCGCATCCGCCAGCGTCTGGTGCATTCGCAGACGAGAGTGGCTGGCTCTTGCGCCGTCGCTGGCGTGGCGCGGGGGCCCCTCGCGTCGCGTCGCGCCACGTCGCGTCGGCTCGCGTTGCGTCGCGACGCGCGTGTATGGGTAAAGCCGAGAGGAACGACGGAGCACAAGACGCACGCCCCCTCCTCCCCCACGGGTTTCGCTCATTCACTCTGGTACACTTCGCCCGGCGGCGGTCCCTCCGCCGCGATCCCCTCCCCGCCCCTCGCGGCTTCGTCGGCCGCCTCGTTCGCGGGCCGCGGACGCGATCGCGGCCGCCGCGGCGGAGAGAAAGAATGAGGGCGACGGAAGGCGGGAAAGGAGAGGTCGAGCGGGCGCGCGAGTGTGAGGCCAGGCAAGGAAGAGCGGGTGAGCGAGGAAACGAGAACGGGCGTTGGAGGAGGGAAAGAGGACTACTACTACTCCTGGGGTTCCCCCCCACCACACGGCCTGCCGCCGCGACGCCAGTCCGTAGTCAGTCAGCGCTGGACCGCCGCCCGCTCGATTTCGCGATCCACGAACGACGGTAGCCACCACCTCCACCTCCTCCCCGCTTCTTTTCCGTCTACCGCGTTCCGGATCTTTCGCTCTTTCTCTCTCTCTCTCTCCCTCTCTCTTTTTCTCTTTCTTTATCTCTCTCTCCCGCGCGTATCTTTCTTCTCTTTTCGTCCGTCCGGTCTTTGCTGCCGCGTTTATATCCTCTTTATCTATTTACACGTGTTCTTTCTCGCTTGTTTCGTAGTTAATGTAGTTATCTGTCCGATTATCTCTTTCTTTCTACCTTTTTCTATCTTTGTCTTTCATTGTTTCGATACATACGCGGAGCATCGTGCGCGCGTCGCGAGTGGATGCGAGCGCGTCGTCGTGGAGAGATTATCGCATGATTATCGAGATTCCTTCTCTCCCCCTCTTCCCTTCTTCGATCTATCCGTGAGACATCTCTTGGCGCGATCCCGATAGCGGTCGTTGGCAACGAGCATCGCGTGAACCGGTGTGAAACGCGGCGACCGATCGGGAAAGTGACGAGTGAGACTGATGATTGCTTGCAGAGAAAAGTGGTGAACCAGGGGGTTGGTGCACGAGTACGGAGTAAATCGGCCCAGTACCGCGAGATCGGAAATTGCCCGCGAATATCAGTGCGATAACACCGGCGGAGAATGCAGTGACGATAGCCCAATAGCAATCAATTCAACCGCCGATACGTCGACGCGAGTCATCAATGCGAGTACAGATGATTTCGCAGGGGTGAGAAAGAAAGAGAGAAGAAAACATCCCAGGAACTTCGCGGTTTCCGGTCGCGCTCCGAAATCCGACGAGTGTATTGTCGCTCTGTCTCGCGATCGGTTACGTGTGAACATACCTTACGTAAGGTGCACAGGTGCCGCGAGCCTCCTCCTCATAGAATGACAGCGATCGCGAGGATCGCGTCACTGACGACGAGCGGGTCGTCGGCGATCACGATGAGGTAGTGGTCGTCGGGACACGTGTCGGTTAGGGGTGACCGCAAGTGTATTGAACGGAGGAGGAAGAGGCAAGACTTATCCCAACGGGTTATCTCGGGGTAAGATACTCGAAGGATATTTTCTCTCGGTGCTCCCGACCTCGCTTCGACTTCTTGGGGACCAACCGATCGCAGTCGCAGGCGACGAGAACCTGGAGGCCGCACGGATAATCGAGCACTCCCGAAGGACGCAGATGCCCCGAAGGAAACAGCACGCACCGCAACGCATGAAATGTGAGTCAAGACAGAGCCAAGACTCGAGCCAAGATTTAACCGGCGACGGTGGAAACGAGGTTCGCCGATCGACCCCGATCGGGGAGCGATGAGACAAGATGCACAGTTTTTGAATTTTCCAAATCGAACGGGAAACAATAAATTTCGGCGTTAATCGTCGTTGATTTTTACAAATTGAAATACTCGCCAATCACCTGAATTCTCGTCTAGACTCGATTTTCGCCAAGTTTTCCTCGCGCGAGAAAGATAACGCGGAGCAATTCACGTGTGACAAAGTTCGATCGAAAAGCCGGCGTTCCACCGTCGCTGATTCGTCGAGCGAACTCGCGGAGCCACGTGGAATACCACGTGGAATGCGGCGTGATTTCGGAAGTAATCGCGGGAAATTCCACGCGCGGGATTGTCCGCGTTTATTTTCTCCCGACGTGATTAATTATTTTCTCCGTGCCGCGCTGACGAGAACGTTCGACGCGTACGAAAATTCAAGCGAAGTGTGCGAGACGGCGGGGGGCACGATTGAATTGTTATCCGATGATCGTCATCGTGCACCGAGCGCCGTCACGTCACGGGATAAAATTCTCGACGCGTTATAGCCAGCGATTTACTGCAATTCTGTGTTTATGGATTAATTAAAAACGAAGAAAACGTCTAGGCGATCGTAAGGGAACTTCCATAAAGTCGTAGAATGTCTTTTACTACCAGTTTAGCGTTCTCGCTGCCGGAGTTCCTAAGTTACGCCGCTGTCGTGTGCACAGTGGATATTATCGTACGGGGAACTTTTAACGTGAGGATTAAAGAAATAGAAAATGTCTGTTTTTCGTTGAACCGAAGAGATGCACGTTCTGTTATTGCGCATTCAACGCGGTAACCTTCAGGCATCTCGACATAGTTTATTGAAGCACAGTTTACTTCTGACAATGAAATATTTTTTTCCGTTAAAATTTCCTTGAATTTTACCGAAATATATCGATCGTTTTCAGCGGTAAGTTAACAATCGAATGGCGCACTATTTTGTTGTAAACAGACGTCGCCCGTGTAGCGTCGATTGCTTGAGTAATTTTAGTACGTAGGAGGCGAAACGTGACGCATAAAATACATAAGTTAGTGAGGTCAGGTTTTTTAGGATACTTTAAAAAAATTGAGTTTATCGACGATTCAAAGATTATTTGGGAAACTCTTTCATATTACGAATGTTATGTACGACAATAAAATGTACAATTTCAGGACAATAAATATTCTAAGTATATACTAAGTGTTTAACGATCAATATAGCAATCATATATCATTCTGATATTAAATATTTAAATTTTTCACGGAGAGATAGATGGAGAGAGAGAGAGAGATAGTGTGTGTGTGTGTTGTATTTTGAGGAAATGTATTTTAAAATTATATTCTAAGTCTTATTAACTTTTAATAGGACTTATAAGTGATAAAGTGTTTTAAACTGTTATTCTATTAAAAAATTACTAGCCAAACATGCTTTTATCTCTATTACATTTACTATATTTTAACTATATTTCTTGATTTTTGCATATCGCTTACACAACTATAATTTTTAATATTACTCTTTACCAAGATAATTAAATATATTGAATTTTCTGTGTGCATTTGATCGATTATGCAATCACGTCTGTTAAAAGGTTGAAAAAGTTACGAAACACATATTAAAAGAAAAATAAAAGTTACATAAGAAGTTTTATACGAGTGTAATTTCTCTTGAAAGATAATTTAGTATCATTAATATGTAGGGGATATAAGATATAAAATATACATTTTCCACAGCATGGAGTGTACCAAATAATTTATAATACTATGTATTCTTTACCTTTGTCCCTATAAAAGTATTAAAAAAATACTTCTCTTAATAAAATTGTAGAACATCGGAGCATGCTAGTTTCGTGTTGACATCATCTTTTGAAAAAAATATCACGTGTGAGATGTTTGCGATAATTCGAATTACATCTCGAATTACATATATCAGAACATCTGATTAATCTTTTCTTTTTAAATTACTATATCTTACAGTTAATATACGCATGTGTATAAATTGCACTTTGATGGTCCTTTTAAAAGTTAAAGTGAATGAAAGATCACGCGTAAAAGTTGAGAAAGTTTCGGTGTATTAGGGCGCTTAGCAAATTTCTATTGCCGGAGAAGTTGAAATTTATCTATCCTCACCTCCGTTGAGTAAGGTCGAAGACGGGCCGAAGGCGTGCAGCACGCCATTTCGTTGAATCTCCCGACAGATGGGCAGAGCGGCGGCGAAGCCCGGCGCGGCGCGGTTCAGGCCGAGGCGATTTGTGCGTTTGAGGCCGTGACGCGCGCCATGCTGCCTTTCCCACGTGGGGAGTCATGAGGCGTAAACAAACTCGCCCCCGGTGGCGGAGGGACGCCATCTTGGTGAAGTTCTGTCCGGAAACATTTACAATTCACTCAACTTACCTTACCGAAACTCGGCCAAGCGCCGATAAATCTCGTGCGCGGGCGCGAAGCGGCGCGGCGCGGCGCGGCGCGCATATCCCGCGACGCGACGCCGGGGCTGCGTACCATAAATTCGCGGCAGTCCGCGGAGTTTCACTGACGTGTATGTTACGGGTTTTTCGCCAGCTCCGACACACCTTCGACAGCTCTACCGCGAACCAAAGCGATTCCCAATCCCCCGATGACTTTCTTCCCTATAACATGCATAAACGTTTCGATTAGTTACCCGGAAATTGCTTTCAGCGAAAATCTATCATTCACTTAATTATACAGAAAATTTAGCGTGCGACTCAAATAGAAAGAATAATTTATTCCAATTTTTATTATATTTATAATTTTCCTGTAATTAGAAAATTTTTCTAGTAAGCTTGTTAATGCATCATATTGACAACGCGATTCTAATATTATAAACAAAAAATAAAATTATTTAAATCATTCCAATGTAATAAATCAGATTTTTGTGTTGATATGAAAAGTTATGCGTTAATGGGACTTAGAATATTTATGAAGAGAAAAAGAGAGAGTATACGCAAAAAATAAATATTTAAATTCCATATCTGTTTTAGTTACAACTCCTAAATCCTGTATCTCTTTTCTGTTAATTATTACAACAAAACGCGATATATTTTTTTTCAAAACTGGACAAACTTTCCCGGTTATTTAATACTTACTTTCCTACTAATTTACGCAATTGCAACAAAGATGCACTTCTACGAGCCAATGTATTTTTTAAATTCTGATAAGTGCCAATCAAAATTTATCTAAGCCGGAAACGAATGTGAAAATTTTTAACCATGCGAAACGATAAAGCCGTCAGCGAAAGTAGACGCGTACAGGTTAAAAAAATAACAAAATATAGCCCGGCGAGCTATGAAGCGGCTAATTTCTCCATTTAATTTACGACGTTCCGGTGAAAGGATCTGTAAAATACGTTGATCCTACGAATCGATCTGCCGGGTATCGATCGCGCGATCACGCTGTGCTCTCGATAGGCCCAGGAATCTAATTAGCAGTATATTATGGAGAAACGATCATCACTCGGTCGTATTCTTGTCATTGGATTTATTTTATTTTATGCCAACCATTCTCAGTATATCAAGAGCTATGCAAAATAAAAGTTTCTAACCGTAGTTAGAGATAAAGATGAAAATAAATGTATTATTTATCTGGCTGTTATTGTATATCAGTGCTCTGTGATGTCGAAACTATTTATTACTTATTTACAATATTTCTTGATTAATAACATTTCAATAAATAATGGCTGCATATTAATTAAGCGATTGTGGAAAGAAATGTGTTCTGCGCTTCTTAAACAAAATCTGATCCGTAGAAAGATACTCTGTCACTTGTTATACTGCTATATATTTGTGTGTATGGTAATATTAGTTTTAGCACACATATAAGCTATTATTAGTCTATTATTGGACTGTATAGTCTGTTTATCGAACTTATATTTATATTTGTAATCACTACAACTTCCTCGTAGTGCTCCTGAAAATTAAACGATTCGGTGTACTGTATTATTAACAATTAAATCAATTTTTAAACGCAATTTTCTAAACCGCTTGCTAGATCCTTGCGAAGAAGGCCAGGTTATATATATACATAACGTTTACTAACATTCGCATTCGATGCAACAGGTGCAGCCTCGATGCATCCTTCGGGCCTCCATGCCCGAAATTTGCATTACCAGTATTTCGTCGTGTCTTCACATCGGCTTGTTGCGTGAAAAAAATCGGCACCACGCAAAAAGTAATGCAACGGAAAGAAAAGAAAATATTTAACAGATTTTATTTTCTCCAAAGATTTTATTCTATCTGTCGAGCGCGACGTTGAATTTCTCGATTTCGGCGTTTTCTAAACGCTTGCTGGGATCATAATCCCGCGAATTCTTCAACTTCACTGATAAAAAAAAGATGCATACTCGCGCTCCTCTTGGATATTTTCTTAGAATGCAATTCCTTTTGGAATTGCATAGTTGAAGGCAGCGGTTACATGGCACAATGTTCTCGCCACAACGATGCTTATCACGAATAGCGAAATCGGGATAAATGGAAATGGAAATGGAAATGATTGATTTGCCGACAGACGCGTCTTATTTATTCAATATCAAAGTCTTCGGACTCCAATTATATTTAGAGCGTCTCGTTGTCGCTCTCATTTCTCTCCTCTTTTTCTTTCTCTGTTGCTCGCGCAGGAGAAAAATCGATTTTTGACCGTTCCTGAAAAAGCAACGCTATTGTATTAGAATTAAAAGACCTACGAGACATATCGATCCGCGCGAATAAGCGAACCAATCTCTGAAATCTTGTCGGTGGTCTAGACTCAAAGTTCACGTCTCTTCCTTTGCAATTTTAATGAGACGCATTCCTATCCCTGACTCACACCACGTGAATAAAATAGGCATTTCCGAATTAATACTTCACCCATTATGTCCTTGATTGGACACTGCTGACGACTTTTCATCATCAGTCTCTGAAATCTGGAAATTCAAAATTCGCAACGAAAGCTATCGACAGATTTTAAATTATAATTATATGGCTGTATAATGTATTTTAAAATTTATTCAACTTTGTTGCAATTTTAAAATCAAAATTTATAGTCATAATTTTCTTATTTAAAAGGTAATAAATATAACTTCGTATTCAAGCATCCAGCATAAAGCGTTTATTTCTTATAATACTTGTATGTTTTATGACCTAGTCACGCTGTAAGCTCTGTGCATTATATAATTCTGTGATTTCGCTATCTGTAACTTAGATAAAAATTTTAATAGAAAAATAATGACAATTTTATATATGTGTGGTAAAATGCTACACTGACTTATATATGGCTATATTTTAAACAAATGTTACTAACATAAGATTAATTCCGCTAAGACCTATAAATTCATATACGAACACAAATCATTTAATACTTCAACGACCTGCAATAATGTATCGTAATAGATGTACCGCAAAAACCAATAAGTTGAGAATATCTTCAAATAATCACTCTCATTAGAATTTTTATCAAATAATCACTTTTATGATCTTGTGAAATTCTATATTAATCTTTGTTGTATTAATATTATGAAATGTTTCTAAAAAAAAGATATTTTATGATACAAAACCACCTAAATTTTCGATTTAATGAGTAACAAACAAATGTCTGGGAAAATATCAAGAGAACAAAAACTATAATGGCATGATATTTTCAATCTAGTCAAATGATCTGCATATGTTAACTAAATGATTACGCCTGGAGCGTTTGCGCACAAAGGACGATAAAAATAAACGTCCGCGTCGCCGATACATGGCAACGTTCTCGAAAATTTCGCGCCAGGAAATTACGGAGAGCAAGGAGGATCCTCTCACGAAAACGTTTTCGGCAAAAAGTTTTCCCGAGTTGATTCGCGGAAAACGCATCGCTTTTTCACATTGCATTTACCTGAAGCGAGACCCGTGTCGTTAAAGTTTCATGGCAAGGCCCGGTTGTGGAAACGCTTGGAATCGCGCGTCCTCGTCCCGAGAAGAAATTCCAGGATCCTACTACCAGCGATCCTAAAAATCGACGACCCATGGCGAACGCCTATTGCGCCAAACTTTCACCTCAAACAATGTCGGCGCATTTTTTAGATCCTATATGGACCACCCTTATACTGCTGCTATAAATCCTTCAATCCGATGAAAAAGCAACACATCGCTCAGTCACACAAGTTTCTTTGCATGACCTAGAAAGAAACGATAATTCACACAGGCCAAAACGAAAAACCTTTTTCTTCAGAAGGTATTTTGACTGGAATGTCTGACTAGTCTGCACACATTAAACACACATTGAGATACAGAAATTACTGTTATTAATATTTTAATAAATTCGAATAACGCAATCGATATACAATATTATTGAAGAAAATAAAGTGCAATTTGTGTATCAATTCCATCGTTTATTTTTGCCTGCTATATTTACAAATCATATAACAGTAATAAATAGAGAACAGGTTGTTTTTTTCAGTAATCTTTATATAATTCTGATATCTAATTTTTTCATTATTTCTATAATTTAAATGGAGATATAAAGAATGACATGGTTGCACAAACATTATTTTTAGAATAATGTCGTCTAAAAGTTATTGAAAGTTAACAGATCTACAATAAATCAATGTGCGTTCCAAATTTGTTCACATAATTTCTGTTCACACTGCACATTTGATTCGAGCGTTGCGATGCTGTATATGGATATCTACAAAAATGTTTTATACGTGAAAGCAGTCTATGGCTGAAATAAGTTAGTATGTTTCAGCAAGGGAGTTAAGTATAATTAAGGTTAACGTGTATTTATCCACTTTGTAGCGGATGAAAGCTAAACAGACGGCCCCTATATGTTCAAGATATGATCAATTTTATAGTACTTTCTGTGTAATTCAACGTTGGCATTAATTGTATGAAAGTCGATGGACACGTCCAACATGATCTTCATAAAATAATCTCGCGCGATTTAATTATAGCTGTAGCATATTTTATATACTTGCTGATTTTTTTTTTTTTATTGAAATTTCGTGACCGAGCAGATACGATGATAAGAACAGCATGCGAGATAACTTATTAAATTTTATTAGGACATTCAAGCGCTAATGTTTTGAATTCCTCTATAAGAGGTATAAGTTAAGATTACTGTGAAATAGAGGTACATAAATTTAATGATCGAGCTTAATATTACACCGTGATAGATACACATAAAATATCCTTGTATAAAAGAATTTTATGTTGCACAATAAAGTAAATGAATAATCTCAATGCGATAATGAGTTGATACGTAATAACTCTAGATAAAACTGGACGTAGTAATGGACCTAGGAACGAAATGATCTTTTTTTTTCCGCGAGAGACGAATGTGCCGTTAGATGCGCTTCGGTTACCGTTGCAATCATACACTTTTGTAAGCGGTGGCAGAAGCTGGTTCTCGGGATTTTTGCGGAAAAGGAACGATGACGAATGGAAGAGCTATCGTTCGGCAGAAATATTAAAGACGTATCCGCGTGTGAAACGGTTCGACGCTTAGATTTCCGCGTTATTCCCATAGATCAAGCGCGGAGTCAGCTTTCTAATCGGCTCCCATTATTTCCGGTGATCATGATTTACACGCAATGCCGCATCGACGGGCGAGTACACCGAATGCAGTGTATCTCGAGATAAATGAGACTTCGCTCAAGAAG